TAACACAATAACACAAATACTAGATGTTGCAGACGCACAGAAGTTTGGCTTTATTGTCTTATTAATTGTATGTAGAGTGCTTTGTAACTTGTATGTACTGTAACACTTTGATAATCAGGGGGAAAGTATATGTGTCACAGAATAAAACAGAGAGGATTACAAAAAGGCATCACTACACTATAAATCAAAATCAGAAAGCTAGTAAACCAGTACAAATAAAGAATAAGCTTTAAAAACTATAGCCTACAAATAATTGAGATTTTAAATGTGTATACACTATAATACTAAGGCGTATATTCATATGTTTTATGTGCTTGTGATTAATGCTTCCTTATGTTTCTGAGCAAAATGAAATATAGCCTGTAGATTCACTGTGTATCATATACACAAGGACATGCCTACATTTGCCCAGACTTGCTGCCAGACTGTACCTACCACAAGAGAAAGGAGCGGTAGAAGTTTGCATCAAATATCAGTTAAATGTTCAAAATAAACAATTTTTGACATAAAGAGTTTTATAATAAACAGTTTCATGTTCAATTAAATTACTATCTGTAACACTCTGCATGGATATTTTATTTTTGAGTAGGATGGAAGTAAAATAAAGAAGTTAGAATACTTTGAATAAAATAAATGGATCACTTAATATTACCACAACTTTTGAAATATATTTGAAAGTTGATTCAGTTAAATGTTTATTTTAATGGTCAAAGTGGGTCATTTAACTGTAATAGAGGATTTACTCAGTAATACAACTCTTGGAATTTGCATCTAAGAAATTATTAATATAGGGTTACTGAATAATATTCTGATTAACATATTAAATATGTTAATCAGAATGAAAAAATATGTTAAAGTTGGTTTTATCTTTTGCCTTCATTTAGAGTAGAAACACGCTTTTTTACTACAACAATTTACTAAAATTTATAAATCTAGTGAGTTTCAACTGTGCATCGTTTTAAAGTTAAGGATAAGCCTGAATTCGCCTGGACTTGTTTTGCTGCCATCACCGGAGAAAGGAAGGAGGAGAAATGGCAGTTAAATTAAATTAATTGGTAAGTAACTTTGCTCCATTTGTGTACTAATGGTATCAGCACACATGGTGCAAAATATCATTTTCACGCAGCACTAAACTTGTGTGAAATTACATTTTGTCCTAAGCTCATTTAGCAATTCTATATAGCCTGTATGTACTTATTTATATTTAAGTATATAAAATAGGGGCTATAATATATACATATCAACATCAGTAACAACCGATTCTGAGGACAGAGGTTGTTGAATGCTGTACAACAGTTTAAGGCAAGTTGTGATTTTATAAATTAAATTTGACCTTTCTGGAAACAACAATGGAAATGTGTCTTTGAAGGGATGAACACACCTAACCTAACCATATATAGCCGTATGATTGAGTAGAATACATTATGATTAAATAGAAAAGTATAGGCTATAATGCTCCCTGTATAAATGTATTATTCTTGTGATTTAAGTTTAATTTTTGCAGGCCTGTAACTAGTCAAACCCCTTAACACGATTCCCTAAATAATATATGTGTGTGAAACAGAATGAATTGAAAACGCACTGTTGTTACAGTCTATTAATTAAGCTCATGCGTTCAGCCGGGATGCGATCCCTCTCACCGCTGTCAGTGCGAGAGAGAAAAAGGGGGAGGGAAGTGGGAGGGGCCGATGTCGCTTGGTAGTGCCTAGTTTAGCACTTTGCAACATGATCCGCGCACAGCACTGAGAGGCCGGGCTCTGCGGTCCTGCGTCCTGCCACCATCCTGCCGCACCACATGGAGACCGGACAGAGCCACAGTAACGGGGAATGACAAAGGAAGAAGGTGGACCGTTTTTCTCCTCCTCCAGCTATATGAACCGCGCACAGCATCAGCAGATCACAGAGAGAGAGAGAGATGAGGGTGACGGGAAGTAATGCTGGTGCTTATTGCGGTCTGCGTCAAACCTCTCGCTCCTTCGGAAGATAATGCCCTCGGTGCCTCTTTAAGGACTTTCTGGGTTCATTATTATTTTGCTTGTGATCACCCGTGCTGCAGGGGTCCATGTTGTCAGCATCTCGGGGTAAACATCCAGCGGGGACAGCGATGGTCACCCAGTCCCTCTCAGCATCTGCATTGTAAGGAGAAACTCGTCCTGCGTGAGTGGGATTTTTGTGAGGGGAATATGCAGAGATAAAGGACAGTTTTTTTTGTTTTTTTTTTTGTTGTTGCATACAAAACCACATCAGAGCCATAGTTGGATTACAAGGTGTTTGGTTGTTTACCAACATGAACTCGCTGTTTTTCTCCGATACGCCGCCCGGTCCGGTCTGCAACGTCCCCACCGGGTCGGGCGCGGTGACCAGCGCCCTGCGAAATGACCTGGGCTCCAACATCCATGTGCTGAAAACCCTCAACCTGCGCTTCCGCTGCTTCCTTGCCAAAGTCCACGAACTGGAGAGGAGGAACAAGCTGCTGGAGAGCCAGCTGCAGCAAGCCCTGCAGAGACCGCAATACCGCCACCTTTACGCCCGTGAAGTTGCAGTGCAGACGGATGGTCCCGAGTCGCGGCTGCCGGGGACCATCTGGAGTTTCACCCACGTCCGGAGGCAAGGGGAGCGCTTTGAGACCCTGCACGGGCCCGGAGTGACGTGGACTCACCCGGACGGAGTCGGGGTCCAAATAGACACCATTACCCCAGAACTGAGGGCTCTGTATAACGTGCTGGCCAAAGTCAAGCGGGAGAGGGACGAGTACAGGAGAAAGTGAGTACAGGCCGGCCAGCATGACTGATGTGAAACTATCTGTTGATGTATGTGCTGTTGATAGGTCTCAGGCGATGTGAAGCATGTTTCCATAACTAATATAGTAGCACAGTTATGTTATGTAGGCCTGGAGGATACATCCTAATACATTTCACCAGATGTTAACGATTTGCAGGTGAGTTGCAAGGAAAGGCCTTGGAAGAATGTAGCTGTGGGCCCCCCTTTTTTCTCTTCTGGGCCCCTTTCATCACTGTAGCTGCACAGAAATAAGACAGAAACTGAAAATAAAAACAAAATGTTACCACATACCCACCACAGACTATCACAGGGGCACTGCAGTCACAAGGTCAAGGGTTGTCTCATTCAATGTAGAGGTTGCAGTTTATAAGCAGAGATGCTCGTCTAATGTAGTGCTACATTAAAACAAAGACACATAATCAATATTGCTCTTCAAGATGGGCTCATGTATTGTTCACATTCAAGTTGAAAAGACTAGGCAATAGGCAGAAAATGACCTAACTATTTGTATAATTGATTGGCATTTTATAAAGGGTTCTCCAATGTAATGGTTCACTGCTTTTCACTGTTTGATATCATTGAAAGTTGAATATTTTTAGGTTTTGGATGGTTTGTCGGACGTAACAAGACATTTGAAGACATCACCTTGGGCTCAGGGAAACTGATGGGCATTGTTCACAGTATTTGGCATATTATAGAGCAATTTAATCATTAATCAATTATTCAAGGAAATAATCAGCATATTAATCAAGAAGGAAATGATCTCTGAGTTGGGGGAGAGAGCTGAGCTGTTTTTCTACCCTTCACTTTGTGACTTCGAACTTATCATTGTGACTTTTTCAGTGCCATGTGGGCGTGGTTTGCAAAATGTCCCACTCATCTGACAGTCCAGTGGAAAGATTTCACAGTGATTGAGTTACACTTGAGGTAGTATTTCACATGCAGGATGTCAGAGCTCAGTGGGCGCTTAGCATTTTAGCTATACACAAAGACGTTTATCGTGAATTGAACCAATCCTGTTTCTCACACACTTCTGAGGAAATTCCTTTGCATGGCTCAGTCTCCACCAATTGTCCTTCTTCTTTAGTCACATTAGTTGTGTTTCCTTTGAGGACTCAGTGCAGCGTCCCCCAGGCTGACCCACGTCACTTCTGGCCGTCTCGGTTGGCTACTGTAGAGGGGGGAAACAGGCCAAGGAGCCGCCTGCTTCTGTCTGCTGCCATGATTCAAGCAGAGAGGCATTTTAACAGGCCTCTGTCTGCTCGGTGAGGTCGGCTATTACGAATGCTGACTTCCCTTGTGAGCGCACTGACTCAGTGACACAGAATGCATGTGCTCTCCCACTCTGCTGGGAAACTATATCCTGTCCAGTCATTCTCCGTAACACCAGCATATCCTTGTTTGTGCATTTCTGCTTGAGAAGATGAACAGCAGTGACTGGGACAACAGCCAAATTGAAAACTGCTGCAGCTGAAGCCCCAAAAATCTTGGATCTCTTTTGGCAAAAAATGCGAGCTATTAGAAAGTAATTGGAAGAGCCATCTTAGTTGCTTTTTAAGTAGGGCTTTAGTTAGCAAAATAATCTAAATAAATATAAAGCTCTACTGCACTACACTATCATGAAATTACCCCAGATTGTGGCAGTTGTGGGTTTTCTATGTGTTACTCATTGTTTTTACATAGTTATAGGAATTGCAGGTGTTTGTGTGTTTACATTTTTACTTTAATGACACTCACAAGTACCAAAGTGTCAAACATGTTCTTTATATTCTGTCTACATTCAGAGAAGTGAGGAACAAGACACATTTAGCCTCTTTTTATTGGCCAATAATCATAGTAATCAATCTCTTCCCCTGCCTCTCACATTCCTTCTCGGCTCTGAGCTCAGTAATTGCATCAGTGCTGAGTTCACTGGCCAGTTGTTTTCTCTCTGTCTCCCAGTCTAAATCCTCTTTACTACAGTCACGTTTCAGCATTCAGTCCCCGCGCCCCATCCCGCCATGCCTTTTCTCTTATGTGCTTTTTTTTTTTTTTGTGTTCAGCTATTCCTTCGCCCTTCACTCCGCCCCTCATAAAGCCCCTCCACCCCTCCGCTCTTCTCTGTGTAACGCAGACTGCTTTGTAAGGCATCCTTAAATCCAACGCCCCCCCATGCTGCCACACTGCCCTGGTGATTTATTAAAGCCTTACGAGTGTGGACATTCACAAGGAGATGGATGGCCAGCTGATCCATTTCTGACTTGGCCACTTGCTCTCATACCATAAAGTACTTGCTTGTTTGTTTACTTTCTGTCATTTTACAGAACGTCTCTTTCTGATCAGGAGACTGTTTTCTGAGCCTGAAGCGAAATGTTGTGCTTTGTTTGTCCTACGTTGTTGTTTGTAACGCAGTCACTTATGAAGTTGTATTTTGAAGTCAGTTCAAAGGCTGCTTGGGTACATAAAAGGGCTCCAATATAATAGAAAAAACTTGCCATGACAATGAAGCTGTACAATGTGGGCATAGACATGTGGGCCAGAATTGCACATGTGCCTCTAAGATGAAACTTGTGACATTATGTAATATAATGCAAGACTTTTTTAACCTCTTGAACCATGATTTTGCCCTTAAATTTCCCTTAAAACAGCAATCCACTGCAGTGTAAATCTGCTTGCGTAATTATAATTATTACGTCAACAGTGAACAGTGCTCATGGAAACCTTTAATAACCTTTGCAGTCTAACAGCCAGAAAAATACAAATTGTAGGAATTAATATAAAATGATTGAGAATATTAAGAATAAATTAAGTTTATCTTGAATTTCACACATTTGCTTTTAGTTCATTTGTAAATGTCCCTCTTAGCAACATGTGTGTGTCATTTTAGAGATTACTTAAAAACTATCCTGTGTTCTAACTTTTTAAAACTTCTCTCTTCTTTTTTGTAACCTCTTGATTTGTATTAAAAGTGGAAAAAGTGCAATTTGACAAAGCATAGATTCAGATTGAATTTTACTGTTACAAAATAGCAGAAATAGGGTTCTAGTGTGCTGATATTTCCCTAACCATCTACAGTTTTCTGCTGTTTTTCTGAGCAAAAACGTTTTGCTCTGATAAACCTTAATTGACCTAAATTATGTTTCCAAATTAGCTACTCTGCATTATCCTTTTGATAGAGAACAGACTTGTTATTTCACTGTGTTGCTGGATGTACTTCTGGATCTGGAAAAGCTTTTTAATCGATTTAGTCCACATTCTTAACTAATTTATCAGATTTTTTTTTTGCTTTCAGAACATTGTTGTGTTCACTCACTGCCGTCAGTCACACAGTCTCAGCTGCAAATACACATATAATTGTCCAGGCATAGGCTTCATAAATCAGCCAGCTTGTATGACCATGCACTTTAGTGCCAGAGTGTCTGGACTGTGGGATTACCTCTCACACAGAGAAACAGCCGTGCAAAGGAGGATGGGTAAGGTCAATGTCAGTGCCCTCGTCCGCGCTGTTTTTACCCCACTGACTTGCATCAATGTGAAATGTATCAGTTGCCTGTCAGTGAGTCTCTACCAGTAATTGCCACCAGCATGCAATAGTGCTTAAAAAGCCACAACAGTGGCTGACATTGACAAACGTATTTGACAGTCCACAGCACACGATATTTTAACTAAGAATAGAAACTGTGTCTAACTGTCTGTAACAGCTACCTTTACCGTATGTGACCAAAAAGGCAAAGTGCACATTTGTTTAGACTTTACATGTTGGTGCACAGCTATAGCAGTCTGCTTTATCCATTATGTGGATTACTGCACGGACAGGAAGATAGGGAATAAAAGACAGCAGTTATACTTGTGCTAATATGCTAATACAAGAGCTGCACGAATAAAGATACGGCTAGATATTTGCTTATTCAAAAGATGGGAGCATAGTGTGCAATTCATATTACTGTAGTTTACATGAATTTCTGTGGAACAGAGGTGCTGTAGAGACGGAAAGAAAGAGATGGAGAGACCCAGATAATGTATTATTATATTATTCCATACTGCAGTGTTTTAGACATGCTGTAGCACTAAAGTGCACACATCAGCTACGAGCTCTGTCCCGGTTGGGACTTGAACCAGAGATCCCCAGTCTGTGCTGTGGCCTCTCCTAATTGGTTGTTTATCCCATCAGTGAACAGAGGCCAAACAACTGTCCTGCTGGATCTCAGTGTGGGTGATACAGGACGTATAGTGAACCAGAACAGTCTCAGGGCCTCCTGGGCATGTTCTTCCTGCATGAATAATTTACTTACAGCTGAATTTAGCTGTGTGTAGATCAATGCAATGAGAAGTCACTGAAGACACTTTTCCGAGGCTTTGATCTTTTCTGCCTGTACTTAAGAGAGGTGAAAGGCAGAGTTGAGCATCTCTTTTGAAAGTTGAATTCTGGGATTGTGGTAATAAAGAACTGACTAATTACAGGATGAGGTATACTGTGATTCCAAAGCTGAAGGCTGCATTGTGTTTCAAATGTCATATTTCCCCGTGAAGAGCAACGCTGATGAGCTCTTCAGCCTCTCCCCATCTGTCTTTGGTGGTGACCTGCCCTGTGTATAATCCAGGCCGTCTATTCATTAGAGGGATTTTCTCTAAGCCGTCACCTAGCACCGAGGCCCAAACCTCCAGCCAGCCCTGCACCATATCCTGGCACGCAGCCGCTGCACTGAGCTGGGGCCCTCTCGAAGTGGAAGACTCCCTGCTGCTGAGATACAGTGAGAGAGAGAGAGAAAGAGAGAGAGAGAGCTCAGTTCACTAAGACCATTGAGCTCCAGATTAGAGTCTATATTGTTCCTCTCTTACTCCCTCTTCCTGTCTGCATGGTGTGCCTCACTTAAGCTCACAACATGTTTTCAAACTTGCAGTCTCTAGTATTATTATAGGTCAGTATCATCATTAAAAGCCAGGGTTATCTTCAGTGGAGGTGTTTAGGCATGGATGATATATAAGGCATTCCTCTGTGCCGT